GAAGGGTCTTTTAAGAAAAGGAAATAAAATTTCCAAGTGAAGTTAAATTCTCTTAATCGTGCAGTTCCTTCTCCTTTTTTCCCCTCTTCTTTTCTGGCGGGATTAGTTGTGCCACCGCGATGTTAAATTTTCTAATTTTCCGGTCGCTCGGTTGGCTTTTGGATAAAGAAACTAGAGAAGAGTGGACGACAGAGAGTAAAAGATTCGTGCGAGTTCGACGGTGAGAGAAATTGGAGAGGCAGCAGCGACTAATAGATAAATTTGCCGAGGTTTTTATCTTCTATCCGCGAAAATATTATCGTCCGCGATTTTTCCAGTTTAATGGAATTTAAATATTTTCTTAAGCAGAAAGCATGATAATGTTGACTTTCAACTAGGTCAATGCGCAGACGTTTTCGTCTTTTATCAGTGGAAATGTTATCATTTACAATTTTCATGGAAAATTTAAAGCGATTTATACTTCTGTGATATTCATTTTTTTTTTTTACTAATGGATAGATTTGATTCTCATCATATAAATACAGGGAAATTTTATCATCATCGTGGTTTGAAGAAATACAAATATTTCAATCAATTTTTTCGACTTCAAACTTTTTATCAATCTGTGCAGATATTGTTTTGAAATAAGTCATTTGTTCGTTCTACTTCGCGCTGACTGAAAGTATTGCTAAGGAAAATTAAATTTAATAAAAAAAGAAAAAGCGAACGTGCAAACTGTGATCACTAGTTCACTAAGATTTAAAAACACGCGGAAGAGTTAATAAACTCTTTCTGTGTGAAAAACTTTGTCCAAAAGGAAAAGGTCAAAGGAAAACTTCAACTTTTTTCGTCGTGCTTTCCTGCAGCTCTGATAGCTCTTCATTCTGCTGTTCCGTTTACGCGATTCGAAATTAAAATTATTTTTGAATAGGTAATTCTAGACATTTAAAAACTTTTTAACATTCGATGTTGTTTCAATTCGATCTTTCAAATAACATAAAAAAATGTACTTCAATGGTCGTATATTTTCAACATTGGTTTGCAAATATTTTGCACGGAACAATTAGAGCATCGTTTTCCACGTCTGTTTAATATTGCACGCATTACCAACGATTTTAATAACATTTATTGAATGTATGCATAAATTTAGCCGCTGTCCCAATTTTGATAAATTTCAATTAAAATTGGTATTAACGTTGGATTTCATTACTAATACCCCTCGTATTTGTTACGTGGACATCATTCGTTGTGGCGCGAATATAAATTTATATAACAAGCCGGTAAATCAATTTATTGCGTAAGAAAATTGTGGTTTAAAATTCATACGATGTTTAATGAATTTCAAGTAAATTATTTAGTAATTATTTAATTATATTACATTTTTCTCTGTCGTAAGTTGAATGATATGTTATATCAGATTGATATCGTAGAACAAAAGTTTAAAATTTTTATTCAGCGATAATATTGTTTGATCATTAGATTTTTCTACATTTGTGGGAAATTGGAAGGGAATTGCGTGAATTGTAATTTGTAGAATAATACACAATATTCAAATCAAACTAAACCGTTTAACGGTGCACAAAATAAAATATCTAAATTAAATATTTATCGTAATACATAGCTGATGAAACAATTCTCTACTTAGATTGCGTTTCCTTATTAAAAATCCGCGGTCATCTACTAAGCAGTTAACTCTCGAGCATTCACTAATGAAACAATGGTTTCTATGGTCCAATAATCGTTAGCCGCGCGCGACCGATCGATCGATCGATCGATCGTCGAGGTTCGAAGAGGAATGAACACCGCTTGGAAATTAGCCGCAATCTCTATTTAACATTTAATGATGGAATCAACCCTTGAGTCACATTTGTGGAATTGGTAGAAATTGGATTTCGAGTCGGACTCGCGGAAACGGCTCAAATTGGATTTCGAAATGGCATCGCGACGGTCGACCGATACTCGATTTCGACTCGGACCGCCAAAATTAGCCGAAATCCCCGTATTTAGTCGTACCGCGAAATTACTCCAAATTCAAGTTCAACTGCCATCGCGGAATTGTATGGCAACCAACTGTGCGAAAGCAATTCAGTGACTGGTGGTCAAAATTCAGGATGAAAATTGCGAGCATTAAAATTGTAACACTTGAACTAAATGCCTCTGATACTTCTGATACATCAAAGACAGAGTAATACTTAAATAGATGTAGATGTAGTACTATTAATTTATATTGTAGTATAGTACTATTAATTTTTATATAATATATAGATATCAGAATTCATTTGAAACTCATTTTTACTTAAACCAAAATTTATCAACAGCTGCAGCGACTGCAACGTCACGTGATTTTCAGTACTTAACGATCATCAAAAACCAAATTATAATAAACGTACATATATTCACTTGCATATTTAGCGCTTGTATCTTCTTGCTTTCGCGATTGTTTCTTCGTACAGGGAAAAACTTTAGTAGAACTAGTCGGTATCTGTTGAGAATTACGGTACTTGGTCCAAAAAGGGCGGTCGTTATAGCGTTAATCGCAATGTTTCACGGATATATCTCGAATTCTTCGCGTTCCTTAGCATCGTCCAGGGAAGGAAATCATCCCAGCAATGCAACGAGCCGTCGGATGAAATTTATTTGAACAAAAGTTGCCACGGTATCCGCGCTCGTTTGACACGCGACCCACGTTTCAATTTCGTCAGGCACAATGCACGACTGTCGCGAGTTTTAATTAAATGTGCCACGGCCGCGTGCTCCTGATTCTGTAGTTTAGTCGAACTGCCACGTCGAAAAAGGGGTCTTCCCTTTATCCACGTCTCTGTAGGATCCCACTTCAGCCGACACTTCAGGGAATCCTTTTCCGAACTGTTCCTGGAAAAAAAACCCGCGTTTCAACGCGATATGCACGTTATATAATGCACTTACACTTTTCCCGTATAACGTAGAATAATTCTTTTTCATGTTGTTAAACCTATTCTCTCTCTATATAA